TGAAGCATAAAGTTAAATCTCATTAAAGAGCAGAATATATCTGTTTTAAAGTGTTTGCGTGTGAAGAAAGTTATTAACTAGCAGGAATATAATTTACTAAACTAAACATCTTGCTTGCATAACTTTTGACTGGTGCACGTGTAATTAAACGGAATGATTACATTGCTAGTCGCGTTGACATATCGACAAAATTAATAAACTCTGTTATAACAAGTATTTGTGATTATCACAATGATGATGATTAAGAATAGATAAATGATCAAGTAAATAAACACTTACATTTATTGCAAGATTAAAAAATCAATGCTTATGAATTTAAAGGTAGTTCTGGACGCCTATTGACGTAGAAATTCAGTTTTATCTTTCTATCCAACAAAAGTACACTTGCTTGGGTTGTATGATAATCTATTTTATTTGGTCATTCACGAGTTCGGTGACCGACTTTTTGAGTGCATTCAAGTATGAACACTTGCATATGTTAGCGTTAGCGTACACTTGACCAAATAGTTTTCGTGTGCATGGATGTATGAACGTAAGCAGGCATATAAACACGCATGCATGTATACGACGCACTCATATGGAGTGTATGACTAAGTAAGGATGAGTCAAAAAGAGTGTGTGTGTATGTGATGTTGCTTGCTTGAGCTTCAGCAAGTGACAGTGTGTGTCATAGCAAAGATTCTTCTTTGTTGGATCTTTCCTTTCATTCTTCAACTTTATGCAACTGAACCATTTTCTCTGCAGTATTTTTTATGAAGAATAAAAAGTCTGGAAACCTGCTAATCTCTTCTATATTTGGCTTCTTGTACCCATATTCCTCTTGTACGCTTATAATATTTCGATCCTCAAAGTACTACTATATATGGTTTTTATATGTTCTTATGTTCTTGAACATGAGTATAAATGTTAAAATACATGAAATGCACTCAGTTCTTTCTTCTACAAAAAGATTACAACAGTTTACTTAAAAGTAGTTCATCTACTTGTTTCACCCATATCAAAGTGTTATCTTATTTTTGATTGACTTTCATATTTTCACTCA